TCATAGCATCCTGGCACTGAGCTATTCAGACCAGAAGCTTGTATGACTGATGCTCTCTCCCATGTGTGAAAGGGGGGTGTTGCCCTACAGGGAATGGTCCAACCTGCTGTCACACCCCAGATTCATCAGGTTTTACATCTTCTCGCTAAGGACAGCAAGACTCTTGCAGGATGTCGTATATCTCTACGTCCCTCGGGGTAAGCAGGCAGAATGCTGAAACCTGAGAAGATGTTTTAGTAAAAACACCATTTTCTGATGTGGCTCAGCTTTAAGGATTAGCCTTAACAATGGAAATCCTGGATGTCAAGGACAGCCAAGCTCAGAAGACAACCGTGTGTAGCTAGTTAAATGATGTGGCAATCACAGAGCTGGTTTTTCTGGCTAAGTACCACCCTCAGCAGTTGCAGCAGGTTGAGGGAAATGCTACGCTGGTCTTTCAACTCAGTGCTGGACCGAAGTTCCCATTCTTAAACAATTTTACACTTCTGTGACATTTTTTAAGCAATCAAGAATTTATTATTATTATTATTATTATTATTATTATTATTATATATTATTATTATTATTATTATTATTATTATTATTATTATTATTATAATACAATTTTACATTCTGTGACATTTCTTAAGCAATCAAGAATTATTATATTATATTATTATTATTATTATTTATTATTATTATTATATATTATTAGGAGGAGGAGGAGGAGGAGGAGGAGGAGAAGGAGGAGGAGGAGGGGGATGGAGGTAGAGGGTATTCCAAAGACTGCTGAATTGCAGTGCCAAGGAATTCCTTCAGGTGGTTTAATTTTATGGCAGGGAGAAGGGAGAATCCCTTTATAGAGAAGTTGCCCATTGTAATATTAAATTATCAGGCCACTAGCCCTGTTCTACTTGGGGAGGAGGAAAGCAAAGGATCAAGCTGAGCTTGGAGGAAGGTACAGGCTAACCTCTAAATGGCACAGCGTACTGCAGAGCCGTGGTGGACTAGATGCACTTCAAGCCTGGGTTATTTGGAGCTCTGAGCTCTTCCCCTTGTTGCTGATGTCCCTGCACAGAACTGATAAGGAACTTCTTCCTGATAAGGAGAAGTATTAAGAGGGGATCTCAGGAAGAGATCAGCCATCAGCTCATAAGTGTAGAGGTATGGCAATGAGGAGTGAGCTCAGGATTGCTCTTACCTCGTTGATAAATACTGTATGAGTTATTGGGATCAGTCCTAAGGAGATGCATTTGTGCTACTGGATAGCATGAAGGAGCCATCTCCCTCTGCTCCAGCCCAGGCCTGCTCATGCCCCTGACACAAGATGATCACCCTCGTCCTTCTGGCTTTAAAATGCATGCAGATTTTAAAGGAAAAAAAAAAAAAAAAAAAAAATTAAAAATCTGCTTTTAGTCAGGACTCAGATATACCTCAAACATTGTTGAAAGTCAGGAAAGGAAGAAAACCAAATTTTCTTTTTAAAATGTTCACAAGTCTTCCCTGGTTGGGGCCCATCATCATTTAGCAGAGCATTTCTTGTCAGATCTTCATTCATCCTGATTACTTTGTTCTATAGTCTCTCTCGGATTTATTTCCCCCTTTTAATACAAAGCAAGTTTTCTGGTTCAAACCAAGAATGACCATTTTCACCTGCCATTAAGTGAGAGGTTAATTGTCCACCAAAGGAGAAAGGCTCTAATGACTATTCCCTATTATGAATGTCAGAAACAGTCTGTTCTGCACTTTCTCTTTTCGAATAAACTCCACAGAAACACTAAGCTGAGCCCCACAGTGTATAGTTTTATAGCACATCATCCAATTCCATTTTTACATTTATTTCCTCACTGACTTGCCCTGTAGTCGAGCAAGATATTAGTGCATTTAATTTCTTTGGGCAAATCAATCCACAAACAATGGAGTCTCCCTTTTTCAGTTTCGCATATAGAGTTTGGAAGTTATTCTGCCTGGTATAGAGAAAGGTTGTTCTGCAGGGATCAAGGGCAGTTGCAGTCATAGAAACCTACCACCAGTCCACGTATATAGACAGATGTGATTCACCTTGGTCTGAAATACTGCCATAAGGATCCCCAGAGCAACCAGATGTGCATACATGGCTTACATCCCCTACAATTGCAAAGATATATAATTTTTAATAGAAACATGAAGAAAGATCCAGTTTCATACAAGTTAGTAATTCTTCCCTGTAGAATGAAAGGGCCTGACAAGTATTAATGTATTTGCTTAACCAGGTGGAGTATCAGTTTCCATCTTGGCAGTAGAAAGTTTAACTACAAAGAAAATTCCCAGTCCCCAAAATATTTTGCTATCTATTTGAAGAAAAGGACTGTACCATCTGGACTAGTTTGAAGAACGGGACTGAGTCACTAGTCCTAGGGAAACTATAATATGTGGGAAATGATTTATGGTTTCAGATATGCTGAGGCTAGAAAGGAGTATTTATTGAATCTCAAAGTTGGAAATAAATAGAAACAAAAGTCTAGAAAGAGGAAAACTGAAAAATCTCTTCCTATTCCCACTCTACTTAGGTAACAGACTCCTTCCTTGGGCATGGGCCATGGTGCTCCAGGTTCCTTCTTCTTTTAGTCAGCTCTCCTGAATGTGAACATCACCAGCCATGGAGAATTCATCAATGTCTCCCAAGTTGTTCCCTTCCTGAATTTCCCTCACTGCTGAAGAGCTCTGGTGTCTCCTGAGTTTTGCAAGGGCTCACCTTGAGGTGATACACTGACAATAATATATCAGGAAATACATCTGCAGGACCACTTCCATCCTATTAAATGAAATATGCCAGCTGCTGTTCTCAGTCCCCAAGGACAAATGGCAAAGATAATCTTGTATAATTCATTTTTTTTCCCCTCCAAAGCAATGTGTCACCCTCCAGACTGACCGCTAGGAATGGTCTCTTGCTTGTTATATTCAATAATATAAAGTAGCCCTAATATTAAGATTTTT